CTGTTAAATCATAAATATGTATCCGTATTTCCTATTTTGATACTTTGGGGAACATTTATAAGTATCCAAAACTAAAATTTGAGGCAATGCTTACACGGAAACCACTGGGGTGTTTCTGTTGAATTTTAGAATGATAGAAAGGTTGTTTCTTCTGCCTGATGCTGTGAATAATGCTTAGCTAACACTGATCAACCTTGTTTAATCTTGATCAATGCTAATTGTGTTATAATCAGTTTGGCCCTTTGAACTTTTAGTATTTTTTATTATTTTCTTTCTTTTTTCTTATCGTACTTTAAAATATTTTATTAGCAGATGATTTAGAGGCAATAATGGCATTGATTCCTCTGCCGTAACAAATGTGATTTTTGAGGATTTCACTCACCAGAGAATGTAACATTAAACCCCTCATAAGACATGGAGAAGTCAGAGATAAACCGGAGTTGGGCAGTGAAGTTTCCATACAGCCCGGCACTGATGGGAGCTGGCAAGCGTGACCCAGTGAGTCGTTTCAGAGGTTGGCTAAAGCTGCCATTTTCTGTAATCAGCAGGAAGTCATGGCCACTCTCCAGGTGGAATGTATGGAAAGTGAAGAATACACCTGCAGAATAAGGGAATTTATAGCTAACACCAAACTAATGTAAAAAGTGGCAATAATGCTGAGTTTAAGAAGGAGCACATGTAAATAGTTAAAATATGTGAATGTTATTAAACTGCCTTTTTTTTTTTTGCTTGGCCAAGAAATCAGCATTCTAAAGCCAACAGGTGGCTTCCGTTAGTTTATTCTCATTTATACATGATCACTGGTCACTGAACACAAACTGAACCCTATCTGCTTTCTGAATCGCTACAAACACAGTGCATCCAATCACAACACTCATTTATTTAGAAATGCATCAATAAGTATCCTATTATTTTTCCTGTGGCTCTCATGCCAGGCTTTCTGAAAAATACGGAGCTTATGGCATTAGTAAAGCGAAGACAATTCTCATTCATATGTGATCTTCATAATAAGCTATCGAAAGACATTTTAATGAGTCGACTTTATTCGCTCATTGGACCAAATTATTTTAGTGACTGTGGCATGTCCATCCACGTGGAACTATTATTTTTAGGCTCATACTGACAACTGCCTAACATAAGAACACAGTATTATACATATTATAATCTAAGCTGGACACATACATATTGCCACTTTAATCTTTCTTTTTATTGTAGATCTTTAAAGAAGGAACTCTTACCTTTTCCATGTGAGGTCTCTATGACCCACGTGCAGTTGAGGTTGTTTGGATAGAAATCTGGAAACCCTGGTGATAGGATTGTACCGCTGGAACCCTGAATATATCCCCCGCAGAGTGCTGAAAGGTATGGTCAGAAAGCATCATTATATGAGGAGGTGTAGGAAATGTTCAATGATTTATCTGCACCGCCGTGATACTGTGATACCACTGTGCAGCTTTCTGGCTGAGATTCTATTATGAATAGGCACTTGTAAATGTTTGTGATTATACTTTACAGTTTACCCCTTCTGCCTATTAAACCTGTGTGTTTTCCATATGAATTAAGGCAGGGATCTCCATCCAAGTCTTCACACATTGACATGTATGTCCTTGTGAACTAGAATGTCCCTCCTAAAGGAGTGATCAACTATAGTAGAACCTATGGTATTATGGGAAAGCCATGGGCCTATTAAAAATCTTTAGCAATAATATCAGTTTGGCTGCATGATCCAGATTCCATACCACTTCCCAATCTTTATTCAATTGGAGTGATTACATGTGTGCACTATATTTGTTGATGTTATTTATTTCAGAATTTCTACCAGTTTTATTCCAGTTCAAGCATGTTACATTATTTTATTTACTGTATGTCACTTTTGTGTCGCTCTGGGGTAGTGCAGCTCAACTGTGTGCTATTACACTATCTATATAGCGCTTTCATATTGTTTGGGTTTTCTGAAACAAATGTTATGCTTGCATCTTGTTATTGCCATCTTGTGGAATGCTGTGTGCAGGTGCCATCACACCCTGGTACTATCTACCTCAAAGGACAACAAGTGTAGATTTTGGCTCCCTCATATCCTACTATATTTGACTGATAGAGTCTGGTAATAAACAGAAGCGCCATTTAGTCAGAAAATAGGTGTATGTACTTTCAACCCTTACCACCACAGTCCATGTTCTCAAGCCATGAAACAAGCTTTGCCGAGCCACAAAGTTGCAATGGTGATAAGGAATAAAAGTACATATATTAAAATTCTAAATGCTTGGTACCACTGTATATTATTAGCTGTGTTGGAGGTGTACTGTGGCATCAGGTTACAGCTAAGGAGGTCTATGAGGGGGTCCATTTTTCAACTAGTGTTACCCCTTCATAATTGGTCTCACACTTTACGTACTCTCTTCATCTCATCATGTACTCATAAACCAATATTTCCTACACTTTACTTTACTTTGCTTGACTTATTTTCTCTATAGATAATATTCAGCAAGACAACACTGCTCCTTCGACTCTTAGTTATTGTATCCAAAGTGTTCTGTAATCTTTGTCCACACACTCTCTTTTAGTCTTTCATCACCTGTGTATTTTTTCTTATTGATAAACCCAGCTGAAATATTATACATTTATAACTAAATATTGCATTAGCAAGGTCCAAGCCATGCACAGACATAGTTATTTCATCTCACAACATGCTACCCCATTCATATTTTCTTTGATATGATCACTCTCTGGTCTGTAGATATGACACTGATAGATTGAAGGAACTTACCGTCATTGTACCAGAAAATGTTTTTACAACGCCATTCATTAAAGTGAGAATTCAAAGTGAATTTAAAGAGAATTTCAAATGTCAGGTCAAAATAGCTGAAGGGGGAAAAAAATATCTAAACCTTGTTCAGCTACTCTAGCCTTAAACATCTGCCTGTCACAACCTTTACGAGATAGAATTTTATTTAAAAAAAAAATGCATAAAAACTATTGAAATTTCATAAAATTCCAAATTCAAATGAAATCAGAAGATATACATGAGACAAAGTATGGACTACTTTGTCTCATGTAAATGCCAATTTTCGTCAAACTGTGGCAAGGGATAGCACTTCAAACCACTTCTGTCACCACATCCTGCCCATCATTTCTCATCAGCCATTACTCACGCTTCATGCGTGCCCAAAAGGTAGATCCCCAGATGTTGTAGACCTACAACTCCCATGATGTTTAGAATGACAAAGCATCATGGAAGCTCTAGTTTTTAAGCATCTGGAGATTTACCTTTTGGGCACCCCTGGCGTACTTTATTCCCTTGTCATCACAATGTGCTTGCAAAAGGACATGATGCAAGGCAGATCTTTTAAAAAGTGTATTCACTAATGTACAAATTGAATCCAAATGGCTAAACTGGGGAAAAATAGCCAAGTTGTGATCAGATCAGCTATTTTGTTTTCCAATTTGGATTTAAAGGACCACTATAGTGCCAGGAAAACATACTCGTTTTCATGGCACTATAGTGCCCTGAGGGTGCCCCCAGCCTCAGGGTCCCCCTCCCGCCCTCCTCTGGAAGGGGGAAATAGGTAAAAACATACCTTTTTCCAGCGCTGGGCGGGGAGCTCTCCTCCTCCGATCCTCCTCCGATCCTCCCCGTCTGCTGAATGCGCACGCGTGGAAAGAGCTGCGCGCGCATTCAGCCGGTCGCATAGGAAAGCATTCATAATGCTTTCCTATGGACGCTTGCGTGTTCTCACTGTGATTTTCACAGTGAGAATCACGCAAGCGCCTCTAGCGGCCGTCAATGAGACAGCCGCTAGAGGCTTTGGAGGAAGGCTTAACCCATTGATAAACATAGTAGTTTCTCTGAAACTGCTATGTTTATAAAACAATGGGTTAACCCTAGCTGGACCAGGCACCCAGACCACTTCATTAAGCCGAAGTGGTCTGGGTGCCTAGAGTGGTCCTTTAATTTGCAAAAAAATGTGCATCTACCTTCCCATTTCTCCTTTTAACACAGTGGGTGGATTTACATTTGCAACTATTTGTAAGAAAAATTCTTGACATTTTGTACCATGTAAAGGAAAACTTTTTTAGAGCATCAAATATTACCGGACTTCTTTTAGGTAACAAAAGATGTATGCGCTCACTATTTCTGTATTGTACAAAATAAGGGTTTAGATTTAGAAGCTATCAAATATTGTCTGTCTTAATGCTAAGAAAACCCAGTTTTCTTGAAAAACTCAATGATTTATCTCATTGAGTTGTTCCTTTGTCAAAATGATTAATGGCTTTGTAGGTCTTATTAATTCCCTTAAAGGTGACAACACATCTACCAGATCCATTTTCCAACTATGCTATGCCATTTTCTCTATAGAGTGGTAGGGACACTGCTGTATCATCAGGGACTATTGATCTGGACTGGAGCAGACTAGTAAATTACACACTTTACACATAAAGGAGCGATAATGTTTAAAATGTTATCCCTAGGATTAGCAGAGGAAATCGGGATTTGTTTCATTGCACAGAGATTTAGAACAGAAAAACATGATCCCTGAAATTATTATGGTTTACTGATCCAGAAATGTTTCCGTCTAAGGTAAACGTGCAAGTTATATACTTACGTCCAAGGTCTATGACTTAAAGAGATCTTTAAAAAAAAAAATCCTACTTACTTAAATCCTATATTAATTACAAATACCACTTTTTAGTCTACCTCAATATTTGCCTGAGTAATTTTGTTTTATACATATCAATACACTAATTTATATCTATGGTGATGTATTTTGAAATCAAATGTTTTTATAGAACTGGAACAATATTTTGATACCCCACAGTGCTTTTCTCCTCTCCTTTCACACTCGTATAATGTTCCAGTCTGCCTGAGGTCCATGTTTGACTATTCCAGCTTTAACACATTATCATTATACAATGGGGACACAAGAACCCATTTACATTTATTCAGCAAATACATCTCAGGTTTAAATACATCCAAAGTATGCTATGCTGTATGTTTGTTTGTTTTTAACTGTATTTTATTTTCGTAGCGATTGCTGTACATTTATTCAGCGATGTACAGCAATCGCTACGAAAATAAAATACAGTTAAAAACAAACAAACATACAGCATAGCATACTTTGGATGTATTTAAACCTGAGATGTAAATATGTCCCTCTATACTACATAAATATACATTAAATGCACATTTTAGTATGTACTTTACGGTAAACATTTATTTTACCATATAAAATTAAGTAATAAGGAAATATTTTTCAATGAATGGAAACTTTCTATTTGAGTTTTTGGCATATCAACTGGTAAACCAAAAAATGTAAGATGTCTTACGACAAATATATCATTTACGAAAATATTATCTTTCGTACACCTCACATATCTAATCCCTGACTTCAATGTCTGTTCAATTTCTCAAAAAAGGTATAGGGAATTATTGCCATTTAGCATGCACACCTGTATCCTATTTGCCATACAAAAGCCAGATACATTTTCTGCAGGATACTATGATTTTTTTTTTTAACATGGACAGCAAGAGTTGCTTGCCATTATCATTTATAAACAGTGTATTAATCCAGCTCTGTATGTAATGCTATGCCACCTCGTCTATAATTAAATGTGCCTAGCATAAAATGAGGTATTGGGGCTTTTGCATGGCTTGAAAAATGTTGCAATAGGATAATGCTAAGTTTGTATCAACATTACATGTACGTACGTTATATATGCATGTTAATTAAAGAAAAAGGAGAGAGAAATAAAAATAAATTACCTTCGCAGCTTGGCAGTGCTCGACTCCACTGGAAGTTCGGTTCACACTCAAGAGCCTGCTCGTCACTCAAGGTGTAACCAGAGTCACAGCTGAATGTCACAAGAGCCCCCACATAGAAGTCATTGCCATGCCTCTGGCCATTTACAGGTATCCCGGGATCCAAGCAGTGATCAGACTGCAACTTAACAGCTGCAAAATAGTTTTATTTATAACAACGTTAACCATAATAATAGACAGTAATGTTCATGTTGGAGCAGTCTCAAACAAAAACGTGATAATCCTATGATTGGATTGTAAATAGCGTCTCCTCTTCTTATTTCACAGCCCTGTAAATTTGTTTGTTCTTAATAAAACCAAAATTACATAAAAATGCTCAGATGTGATTGTAGCTAGTAAAAAATGAATTGAGACTATTTCTTACAGAATATAAAAGCTATGATACATAAGCACTGATCTTTACTAGGATATATTTAACAATTTGAGAATATCACAGATAGGGTAAACTTCCATTTAACACAAATTAACCATACATTTTAACTATTAATAAAGACAGAGTATACAACATTAAATCTCTTGTACAGTACATTAAGACATTGCCATGGCAACCAGGGCCATTGCTTTCAATCCAAACGTAATACATTATGCAAATCTTCTCACATATTGCTATGGCATCACAAGCAACAGCTTCATATACTAGACTGGGATAGAAAGAGCAGAGGGAGACATACTGGGTAAAGTGAGGCTACAGTTAGACAGTATATGAGACTACAAATGGAAGCTGGGGGGCTAAAAATGGTGTGAGGAAAAAAACTGGAATGGTTAAGTTGTTCGAATTCGATGGTCAAGTCAAGCACGTTGATTAGGTTGAGTGAAGACCCACTAATTGGGTTTGTTATATAAAGAATAGCACATGAATATGATATAGTTATACATCACAAACTTGCAGGCATTAAATGAGGTTTTATAGCTATATACAGACCTGTTTTTGCAAATTCATTGTGGGAATCTGTATTCCAAAACATTACAGCATATTTCGTAAAAAATATCTCTTGGTAAGGTATTTGCTATGTTTCAGCTCGCACAATTACAACTGATATACAGGTGATACTCGAAAAATTAGAATATCGTGCAAAAGTTCATTTATTTCAGTAATGCAACGTAAAAGGGGAAACTAATATATGAGATAGACGCATTACATGCAAAGCAAGATAGTTCAAGCTGTGATTTGTCATAAGTGCGATGATTATGGCTTACAGCTCATGAAAACCCCAAATCCACAATCCCAGTAAATTACACATGCAATCAATAAAACAAGGAGTGTACATAGGACAATATCGGACCTCTGAAAAGTATAAGCATGCATATGGACTCGGTTTGGGCCCCTTTTGCAGCAATTACTGCCTCAATGCGACGTGGCATGGAAGCTATCAGCCTGTGGCACTGCTTAGGTGTTATGGAAGACCAGGATGCTTCAATAGCAGCCTTCAGCTCTTCTGCATTGTTTGGTCTCATGTCTCTCATCTTTCTCTTGGCAATGCCCCATAGATTCTCTATGGGGTTCAGGTCAGGCGAGTTTGCTGGCCAATCAAGCACAGTAATCCCACGGTCATTGAACCAAGCTTTGGTGTTTTTGGCATTGTGGGCAGGTGTCAAGTCCTGCTGGAAAATGAAGTCAGCATCCCCATAAAGCTCGTCTGCAGAAGGAAGCATAAAGTGCTCCAAAATCTCCTCGTAGACGGCTGCGTTGACCCTGGACTTAATGAAGCACAATGGACCAACACCACCAGATGACATGGCTCCCCAAATCAACAAAGACTGTGGAAATGTCACACTGGACTTCAAGCATCTTGCAATGTGTGCCTCTCCATTCTTCCTCCAGACTCTGGGTCCTTGGTTTCCAAATGAGATGCAAAAGTTGCTCTCAGCAGAAAAGAGGACTTTGGACCACTGAGCAACAGACCAGGCCTGTTTTTCTTTAGCTCAGGTAAGTCGCTTCTGACGTTGTTTGTTGTTCAGGAGCGGCTTGGAAAGAGGAATACGACATCTGAAGCCCATGTCCAGGATCCGTCTGTGTGTGGTGGCTCTTGATGCACTGACTCCAGCCTCAGTCCACTCCTTGTGAAAGTCCCCAACACTTTTGAATGGCCGTTTCCTGACAATCCTCTCCAGGCTGCGGTCATCCCTCCTGCTTGTGCACCTTTTTCTTCCACACTTTTCCCTTCCGCATAACTTTCTATTAATGTGCTTTGATACAGCACTTTGGGAACATCCAACTTCCTTCGCAATTACCTTTTCAGGCTTTGTCAATGATGGAGGGTGTCAATGATGATTTTCTGCACAACTGTCAGGTCGGCAGTCTTCCCCATGATTGTGATTCCTACTGAACCAGACTGAGAGACCATTTAAAGGCTCAGAAACCCTTTGCAGGTGTTATGGCTTACTTAGCTGATTAGAGTGGGACACTGTGAGCCTAGAATATTGCACCTTTTCACAATATTCTAATTTAATGAAATTGCGGATTTGGGGTTTTCATGAGCTGTAAGCCATAATCATCGCACTTATGACAAATCAAGTTTGCTTTGCATGTAATGCGTCTATCTCATATATTAGTTTCCCCTTTTACGTTGCATTACTGAAATAAATGAGCTTTTGCACGCTATTCTATATATATTCTATATATATATACATTGTTACACAGTAATATGGGTTGAGACAAAGACTCTAGTTTAGTCCATCGAGTTCACATTTGCTGTTAATGCAAAATAAGGAGAAAAAAAACAATATGAAGCGATGTATGTGCTTCCGTGTTATTATTATGAACTTGTCTAAATAATTGGAAAGTTACATATAATTTTATGTAATATTTCATACTACATACTTTCTACAACTGATGCGTAAACCAGTTCCTTGTATTATGTAACAATAGTTTAATAGTTCTATATAATTATGATTCACATAACATTCTTTATCTTTATCAGCAGTATAAATTAGTAAACATCTCTAATAAACCAGATATATCAGATCAAAGGTATTTTCTGTGTTTACAATGTAGTGCTAGTGTCTACCTCCTCAGAGACAATTTTAGTCCTAATTCTAAAAGTAGTGTTGCTCTGTAAGGGATCAGAGCCTGGTTAACTCATTTACTATGAGCAAGCTGATAAAAAAAAAAAGGATTTCTATATTACTGTGAGCAAAATTTCCTGTTTCTCTGTACAATAAAAAGGGGATTTATTATAATCTGGCAGGGGTTTCTTCCTTTCAAAGAGTCTGTGCAGTTTATCTGTGTATATTGCAGTGGGACCTTATGGTAAATCAGCATGGGACCCTATCTTTCATCAGACATAGAGTAATGTGTAGGATATGTTACCCCACAAAATAAATAAAATAGTTGCTTTATTGCTGTACTGAGAAAATGATTAGCAAAAAATACTTCAACAGACTCAACAGGAATATTAGTAAATAACATATATCACTGCTCTCCTAAAGGCATCTACTGAATTAAACAGTATGGATGACAACACACATATATATTGTATGTACAGAATACATACAGCTTATAGGCAGTATAGGACAGTAACAATACAGGATGCATCGCTGACAATGACAAATATAGATGGAAAGATAAAGATATAAAGAATAAGCAAACGGAGTGACACATCAAGGACATAATAAACTGCAGCTATGTAAATTAATGCACAGGTTTTTCTTTTTCTTATTACTCTTCACATGATCTTGCTTTGCGCAAAAGGAATTTCGTATGGAACCTTAAGAGGGATGTAGGGGAATATAACTGGTATGGACTGGCTGACAATGACATTGGTTAAAATAAAGCTGACTTTGCGCACTATGCAAATGCTCCTGCTGCTTCAGTCTCTCTGTGGTATGTTCCCTTGCTTCTACACTTCACTACACCTTTATTCTAGCCCAGACTGCTTCTGACTGCTAGGATGGAAAGGAGAGGAGTGGACAAGTGAGTGCTAGGGGACAATCCCCAAAAAGCATAGAGCGATCGCATCATTAGACAAATTAGCACCAAGATCATGTACTGTTTGCATAGAACACCTTTAGTTGGCCAGCCTGCATGACATGCAGGGCCGGTGCAAGGATTTTTGCCCCCATAGGCAAACAAAAATTTGCCGCCCTCCCATATGCTCTGCACACCATGTGACATCACAATACCCCGCTCATATGCTCTGCCATATGAGCCAACGCCGGTGCTGCACACAGTGTCTTTTCGCTGAAAAGGCAATGTGTTTATATTAAAAAGCCTGCAGGGACATTGACACCACAACCACTACATTAAGCTGCAGTGATTCTGGTGACTATAGTGTCCCTTTA